GGGGAGGGGGGGGGGCACGGGCTGCAGCTCATTCACAAATACCGCTCCCGGAGCCGGACCTGAGCCTAGCAGTCGTCACGGGCCAAGGGATGCAAGGCGCTGCTGCGGGAGGATCATTATCGAGATTGTAGAACCCACAGCTACTGATAGGACGTTGAAGGATCCCCCCCCCCTTTACCATCTTTCTCTTCCTGCCTGTGCGCATGTGTTAAAAACTGTTACTGAACTGTTCACTTCCGGGGTTAAGCCCGCGGTCGGCCCTACGATCTCCAGGGCGTAACACCCCGCCCCCCTCACTCCGACCATCGCGACAGCTAGTATACGGACTTCCCTTCGCCCCAACTGCGCCGCGTCATCCATATTACATATCGCACATTGGCCTTCTCATCGCGCCGTTGTTTTTATCATACGTTATTTTTTTCACGCGTTCGCCGTACTCTTGGGAGACACACATGGCTGCAATAGTCCCCCGCCGCGCAGCTCGCGGGGAACTCCACCGCCGGCTCGGTGGGGCGGGGCGGGGCGGAGCATGGTAAGGCGTGAGGGCGGTCACCCCGGCGAACTGGGTCAATTCAAGGCTCAACTCCGCGGCCCAAGCCCAAGCGCGCGGCCTCCGGGTATTTTGACGCCCGCCGCGCCGCGCATCCTTAGAACCCGTTCATGGTGGTTCCAGGAACCCTTGGCCATGGGGTCGGGTTCCCAGGTCCAGACTCTGTGGCCTTTTTGTTTTACGCGGATCGTTGCTTGGTTCCCCGAACCAACATGCGTTTTGATTAAAACGATAAAAATAAAAATGTCGGTACTGAGGATCACGATACGAAACATAATCTAACTGGCCTAGTCATACTTTTTTCAATTGCAAGAATGTTGGAAACTTATTCACCACAAACCAAAGATTTATTTATGAATTTGACCAAATTCCAAACTTTTTATTTATTGACATTAATTAATGTTAGAAAACTTCCGTTCCTCTAAAGTAAAACTGTTCAATGTCAAGTTAAGTTCTGTATCGGTGAATATGCAATCGCATTTGTATCGTATATTATTTTTACGTTTGTTATTGTTTTTCTTTTTTCAAATATAATTTGTGTTTACGTTTCGGTCTATCTGTGACGTTGACAAGCCCGCTACACGTCTGTGCGTTACCAATCAATTACTGTGCCTACCTCCCAGGCGCGCGACCACTCTGTTCATAATTATAAATTGTGCTGGCACCGGCCTCTGCAGTTGGGTGCTTGCCCGCGCCGAGCCGAGTCGAGTCGAGCCGAGTCGAGCCGAGTGGATTCTGCAAGCGAGAATTCCCCTCTTACATAATCGGTCCGTGCTGAGGTGCCGAGCTCGGCAGGCGACGCCGGCCGGCCGGCTCGGTGGGGGGAGCAGTGCAGGTCTGTGTCGTGTTGTGACTAACCGTTCAGTGAACCGTCTCCCCAGTCCGATATGGCCGCGGTGGGAGGAGGGCAAAGGGAGGAAAGAAGCTAGAACGAAGACTCTGGCCGAACTCTGGCCACATGTTTGCTAAAGGACTGAGGAGCACCGGAAAGAAGGTGCATGCAATAGTCCGCAATTATTCTAAGTTCACTGACTTTCTGTTGTGAGAGAGTGTATCAAATGATGCATGTACATCATTCATAAATTATAAAATTTGTTACTCGTGGTCGTTTATGTTCTGCACGTTGGTCGGGGAGGTTAAGTGTTGTGCATCACTGTCAATCGTTTTGCGTGTTGGGTATTTTGCCCTGCACCGGCGCGCGCCCTGCCTTGCGCCCGAGGGTAAAAGCGACTTCCGCCGCCGTCGCGAACCGCAGAGATGAGTATTATTGTTGTTGGAGTGCTCTTCGCCCTGCCGCAGCAGGACCCGCCACGCCCCGCCACGCCCCGCCACGCCAGGCTCTCAGCTCGGCGCGTCGTTACACAACCGATCCGTGTATGACGTCCGTACGAAGGGCCCTGCATAGAGGCCCGGGCTCCAAGGGTCCGCCCTCCTCGAGCGGCCCGATGACCGTAGGGCCGGCCCGGATGACGCACTCGGCCCCTCGGTTGGCCGTGAGCCCTTTTGCGGCCGCCTCGGCCGTTAACACCTTCGCATCCGGGTACCGAGGCACCGCCGAGGGCACCGGCCGGCCGTCGCGTGGCCGGCGCGGGGGGACCCTGTCCAGGCAGCAGGCCTCGTAGGAGAAGAAAGGAACACGCCACACGCAGCCTGGCATTCGACTAGAACGGGGTGGGGGTGGGGGGTGAACGAGATGAACTTCCAGCAGCAGGCTAAAGCCTCTCAGAGCGCCCTGCTGCATGTGTTGCGGCCGTCGACGGGGAGGGTTGGGTCACCGCACTGCGGGCGGGGGAAGCCGGGCAACCACAGCAGTCGTGCCGGAGCACAACGACGTCAAAGGGTCCCCTACGGTGATGCAAAGAAACGACAAAGGCGGGCGCCGCGGGTGCAGCCCCTCTAGGCCAACGCCCTCTATTCACAGCGCAAATAGGGCAAGCGCCAAACAGGACTGCGCGCGTGTGAACTGTGAACGCCGCGCCAACACCAGCGTAGGCAAGCAGTTTAAGCGCCTTTGGCGTGCGGGGTAGGCAACGTGTGAGGCCGAGTCGCACACGAACGCGGCGGGCATCCTACCGCACGCCTGGGCGGCTTGTCTGGACGAGCGGGCGTTACGGTAGGCAGCCTGCCGCACCCGGGTGCGACGCAGCCTCACGCGTTGTCTACCCCGCACGCCACAGGCGCTGGCCGGGCGGTCGGTAGGCAGCCCGCCTCACTTGGGTGCGTCGCAGACTCACACGTTGCCTACCCCGCACACCACAGGCGCTAGGTGATCGGTCGGTAGGCAGCCCGCTGCACATGGATGCGACGCAGCCTCACGCGTTGCCTATACCCCGTTCCCTAATGTAGCGGAAGTCTCGTCCCGAGTCGGAGACGCACCATTCATTACCTTACGAGGAACCCCGCCCGGCGCCGGTCATCGCGAGGGGGTTTTCACTTGCGTAATACAGTGTACACCGAAACTAGGTATTACGCGTAATGTAATACCGAAAAATAGGAAAATATGCCCTAAAATGGTAGAATTTGAGTTGCAAAGCTTGTGTAAAACTGGCGTAATACCGCGTAATACACGTAATATGTAATACACTGTACACGAAAATTCCGAGTGAAAACCCCCTCGGGTCATCGTCATCGTGACCCTCAAAGTCCCCAAGCGTTTTGGCTCCACCGCGGGTGACCCTGGTGGGGTCGGTGGGCACCAGCGGTGGGCAGTCCCGGCGCTGAGCTGCACAGCGATCGTACCGGGCCGCCCCACCCGGTCGG